AGGTGCTCGAGCGCTTCGACAGCTCGGACGCGGAGGCGCGTCACCGCCGTCGCCGCCACCACCTCCGCGGCCGCCGCCGCCGCTCCCCCTGCCGCTACCGCGTCGTCGCCGCCGCCACCGCCACCACAGCCGCCACCGCCGTCGTCGTCGTCGTCGTCGTCGTCGTCGTCGTCGTCGTCGTCGTCGTCGTCGTTACGTCGTCAGTGTTGGCATCGTCGACCTCCGAGGTTCCAGCATTTTATCTGTTATGGTCGGACTCTGCGCGCTCACCATCCTCATCCTCATCACCACCATAGTCATCATCACCATCATCATCATCGTCATCATCTCCGTCATCTTCGTTTTCGCAACCGTCATCTTCACCATCATCGCGTATCTTAGCCAGGACACTCCCGCGGGGACCCTGGCGGGCACCTATGAAAACCCGATCGTTTCCCCCGTGCGTCCTTGCAAATCGCCCCGAAACCAACGTAAAAGTGCAAATGCCAACCTCGGCGGGACCCGGGCGCCCCGTCGAAACGGTCCTCCCAGCAGGGGGCCTTCAACGACAACTCCAGATACATTGGGTTTCCAACATTTCCAGGGACGCACGGGGAAACCATTCAAAAAGCAACAATGCAGAAGACATCGGAGAACGCAATGGTTTGCAATGCCTCTTCTAATGGATTTCGGTCCGCGGGGTCGTCGCCGTCTTCGTCGTCGCCGTCGTCGTCACTGGGCCAGCAGCCGCGCGTGCAACCCACCGGAGCCGCCACGACACGAAAACGTCACCATGCCATGTCAAGTGGCCCCCAAAGGGATCATCGAGCATTTTTTTTCTGAAAAAAAGCTCCGCGGGGCCCTTTGGCGCCCAGAGCGAGCCTACAGTATGCGATAGTGGCCCTCGGAGGCCCTCTTAAAGCCACCTTGGACCGTCTTGGCCATTCGCGCCGTTCGGACCCCCGACATAATTGGGCCGCGTTGGCCGTTCTCACCACTCTGAACGCCATCTTGAGCCATCTTGGCCATTCGCGCCGCTCGGGCGCCCCGACGAATCCACGCTCTCCTCCAGGCATCTTGCCATCACCTCGGAGCCTTCGCCTTCCACAGCCTCGCGGGCTCAAACGGCCCAGCTGTCAGCCGCGCGTGCAACCCACCGGAGCCGTCACGACACGAACACGTCACCATGCCATGTCAAGTGGCCCCCAAAGGGATCTGCATTTTTTTTTTTTTTTTTTTGCCAAAAAAGGTCCGCAGGGCCCTTTGGCGCCCAGAGCGAGCCTACAGTAAGCGATAGTGGCCTTCGGAGGCCCTCTGAGAGCCATTTTGGACTGTCTTGGCCATTCGCGCCGCGCCGCCCTCGGGCTGGCCCCAGGACGCTCCAGGCCGCCCAGGGAAGCCTCCACGCGGGCCAGGAGGGCCCCGAGACGCGCCCAAGACGGCCCACAGACGGCTCCTAGCCGCTCAAGAGGCCGCCTCGACGGCCCCAGAAGCTCCCAAGGCAGGCGAGGAGGCTCCCAAGACGGCCCTGGAGGACCTCCCAGGCCCCAGGAGGCCCAAATCATCCCATTCCCTACGGAAAAAGCGTATTCGGGGCATTATCGTGCTTTTCGTTTCCGACGCGTCCACCACGGCCATAGAGACCCCTAAGATCGCCGTAAGATGCCCCCATGAGGGCCCCGAGACCGCCCACGACGACCCCAGGACGGCTCCTGAGGCATCCCTGGTGGCCCACGGGGCACCCAAGACAGCCTCAAGAGCGGCTCAGGACGGCCCAAGACGACCGCCAGACGGTGCCCAGACTGCTCCAGCGACGCCCAATGCGGACCCAGGCAACCTCCAGACGGCCCCGAAAACGCCTCAGATGGCCTGCGGGCGGCCCAAGGGGCTTCCAAAACGCTCCAAGTGCTCCTCGACGAGCCCCAAGAGAGCCCGAACATTGAAGAATCGTCCCATCCGCGGGAAAACGTAAATTCTGGCAGTTCTTGAGCTTGCCCTCTTCATGGCGTCCAAGACGGCCATGCAGCGGCCCAAGAGGCGTCCAAGACGCCCGAAGAGGCCTCCCAAGAGGCCTCCCAAGAGGGCCCCGAGCGACATAAACCGTTGATTTCTACTGTGTTTTTCTATGTTTTCGGCCTCCTCGCCTCGTCGGCTTCCCGACGCCCCAAGACGGCCCAAGAAACCCCCCCGACCGCTCCAAAACGGCCGAAGAGGACCCCAAGAGAGCCCCAAAACGGGCCAGGAGGGCCCCCAGACGGTCCCAAGACGCCCCAGGACGGCCCCAGGACGGCCCAGGAGGCGCCCAAGACGGCCCAAGAGGCACCCAAAACGACCCCAGGAGCGGCCCAAGACGGCCCACGACAGCCCAAGAGGCGCCGAGGCGGGTCTCAGACGGCCCCAAGACGGCCCAAGAGGCACCCAAGACGGCCCGAGAGGGCCCTAAGAGCCCCCCCGGGAGGCCCAAACGAAGGCCGAAGAGGCTCCGAAACGGCCCCCACGAAGCCTTCAGTGCCTTCAGAATTCCCTCCAGGAGCGGGGGAGCGGACGAGAGGCGACAGGCATATTGCAGGCAAAAACGCCCCAAGAGATCCCCAAACGGCCCCCACGAAGCCCTAAGTGGCCTCAGAATTGCTTCCAGGAAGGGGGGAGCGGACGAGAGGCGACCGGCATATCGAAGGCACAAAAGAACAATGTTGGACGCTCCGAGGGCCTTCGATGTTTCTCCGTTGGGGAGAGTCGTCGTAGGATCGACGATTGCCGACCGAGGGCAGCGAATCCAGTGGAGGCCCAAGAGGCCCCCAGGAGCCCAAAAGAGATCCCCAAGAGGTGCCACGGGGCTTAAAAACTGCTTCGAAGCGAGGGGGGCGGACGAGGGGACCGCCTCAGGAGGTTTTGGACGGTTTTGGGCCTCAAAATCGTCCGCTTTACGACGGTTTTGGAAGGATTTTGGCCTTCTCGCCTTTTCCGCTTTCCGACGCTCGAAGACGGCCCAAGAGGCCTCCAAGAGCGCCCCAGAACGGCCCAAGAGGTTTCCAAGAGCGCCCCAAGACAGCCCAAGAGGGCCCCAAGACGACCCAAGAGACGCTGAAGACGGCCCACGAGGGCCCGAAGACAGACCCAAGAGGGGGCCAAGAGGGGGACCACGGACCGAAAATCCGAGCCTTCCGCCCCAAGAGGGCGCCAGGAGGCCCAAACAGGCCCCCAAGAGGCCCCAAGGGGCCGCCAAGAATCCCCCGAAGAGGCCCCAGGAGGCTCCCAAGGAGCCCAAACGAGGCCCCTACAGAGGCCCCAACAGCTTCCAAAATGGCCCCGAAGAGGCCTCGAGCCCGCCTCCGAGCTTCCTCGCCGCGAGGGTGCCAACACGGCCCCAGACCGGCCCAGGACGGCCCAAGGCGCGCTCAAGACGGCCCAAGACGATTCCAAGACGGTCCCAGGAGGGTGCGCCCAGGACGGCCCAAGGACGCGCCCGTTCGGGGCCTCAAGACGGGCCAAGATGGCAAGAGAGTCCCAGCTGGCAAAAATCGTTAATTTTCCATTGTTTACTGTTACACCCTTTGCGTTTCCCGCCGTTTCGGCGGTCCGATGCACCAAGAGGCCCCAGAAAGTCCCAGGAGGGTCCGAGGAACCGCCCAGGAAGGCCCCAAGACGGGCCAAGACGGACCCAGCACAACCCAAGGCGCGCTGCGACGGCTCAAGACGGCTCCAAGACAGCCCCAAGAGGGTGCCAACACGGCCCCTGCTGGGCCCAGGACGGCCCAAGGAGGCGCACAGGAGGGGCCCAAGACGACTCCAAGGCGGCCTCCTCACGGTCCCAGACGGCTCCAAGACAGCCCCACGAGGACCCCGATGGGCCCAGGACGGCCTACGGACGCGCCCATGAGGGGCCCACGACGAACCAAGACGGCCCCATCAGGGCAAACGGCGCCCTCAAGACGGGCCTAGACGGCTCCAAGACGGCCCTTTGAGGGAGCCAACGCGGCCCCACACCCTTCGGGCGCACACTTGGGGGGGCTGGGAGCTTGCGACAAGTCTCCCACATTCATTGTCCTGCCCCATTCTGTTCGCCTGGAGGCCTCCTCCAACCCTGTGGGCGAACAAGAGGAATCCCAGCGGGACGCCAACCCTGGGGCCCGTGGGCCCCGCGCCGCTTGGGCAGAAGACGAACGCCAGGTCTGACAGGCCAGCTACCGCCCCCCTTTGCCCGATATGCTGTGCCATTCTGTTCCCCCAGGGGCCTTGGCAAACTCTTCGGGCCAAGCAGACCGGACCCCTGTGACAGCAGCCAAGTGATATGACCCTGGGACCTCTCCGCATTCTTCGGACGAGCATCTGGGGGGCCCAGGAGATTCGGACATGTCTTCCCCATTCCTTGCCCTGTCCCGTTCTGTTCGCCCGAAGGCCTCCACAGACCCTCTGGGCGAACAGAATGGGACATGGCGAACAAACCCTCCCGTTGGCGGTGATGCGACTGGATCGCACCATCAAGGCGCGCCCGGAGGTGATGGCCGACCCAACAGCGGTTTCTCTTAAGAGTTCACTGGATTTCAAATTTTCTTGAAGCTCTCTTGGGCCCTCCCTGTAGATCCTTGCGAGCCTCCCCGGCGCTTTCGGTGGCTTTCCCCGATGGCCTCCCGAGCCCTTCCCCGAGCGCTCCTGAGACGCCTCAGATGGGCTTCGACTTCGACGCACATCCCCGAGAGACTTCGAAACTGTCCTCAATAGGAGGGGGGTGAACGAGCAGTGCGCTGGGCCAAGCTGCTGCAGCGCTGCAAGAGCTCGGACACGAAGGCGCGGTCTCGCTGCCGCCGCCCGAGCCGCCGCCGTGTTTGTAGATTTTCGGTACAATCGGCGCCGTTCCTCCGAGAACCATTCCAGAAAGATGTCGTGGACGGAGTCCACGGGTCAGCCCTAGTCAGCTACAACGCTGGGATCAGCGCGTGCGAGAAGGGCGAGCAGTGGCAGCGGGCCCTGGCCCTGCTGAGCGAGCTGTTGGATGCAAAGCTCGAGCCCAACGTCATCAGCTACAACGCTGGGATCAGCGCGTGCGAGAAGAGCGAGCAGTGGCAGCCGGCGCTTGCGCTGCTGAGCGAGATGCGGGAGGCGAAGCTGGAACCCAACGTCATCAGCTACAACGCTGGGATCAGCGCGTGCGAGAAGAGCGAGCAGTGGCAGCCGGCGCTTGCGCTGCTGAGCGAGATGTGGGAGGCCAAGCTGGAGCCCGACGTCATCTATACCATGTGGCCGGAGGAACCGCGTCCCGGAAGGAAATCCACCCAAATGACTAGGGAACCCGTGGATTTGTCACGGCGCGGTTTGAAGACGCCCTGGGCGGCTCCGGAGAGGCTCCGGAGGCCCCAAGATGCCCCCAAGACAGCTCAAGGAGCCCCCGAGAAGCCCAAAAAGCGCTCCAAGAGGCCGCCCAGACGGCACAAGAGGCCTGCAACGTATTCCCCCAGGGCCCCGAGCGGCCAAAATCACTCATTTTACGACGGTTTTGGAAGGATTTTGGCCTTCTCGCCTTTTCCGCTTTCCGACGCTCGAAGACGGCCCAAGAGGCCTCCAAGAGCGCCCCAGAACGGACCAAGAGGCCTCCAAGAGCAGCCCAAGACAGCCCAAGAGGGCCCCAAGACGACCCAAGAGACGCTCAAGACGGCCCACGAGGGCCCGAAGACAGGCCCAAGAGGGGGCCAAGAGGGGGACCACGGACCGAAAATCCGAGCCTTTCGCCCCAAGAGGGCGCCAGGAGGCCCAAACAGGCCCCCAAGAGGCCCCAAGGGGCCGCCAAGAATCCCCCGAAGAGGCCCCAGGGGGCTCCCAAGGAGCCCAAACGAGGCCCCAACACAGGCCCCAACAGCTTCCAAAATGGCCCCAACGAGGCCTCGAGCCCGCCTCCGAGCTTCCTCGCCGCGAGGGTGCCAACACGGCCCCAGACGGGCCCAGGACGGCCCAAGGCGCGCTCAAGACGGCCCCGGTCCCAGGAGGGCGGGCCCAGGACGGCCCAAGGACGCGCCCGGTCGGGGCCTCAAGACGGGCCAAGATGGCAAGAGAGCCCCAGCTGGCAAAAATCGTTAATTTTCCATTGTTTACTGTTACACCCTTTGCGTTTCCCGCCGTTTCGGCGGTCCGATGCACCAAGAGGCCCCAGAAAGTCCCAGGAGGGTCCGAGGAAACGCCCAGGAAGGCCCCAAGACGGGCCAAGACGGACCCAGCACAACCCAAGGCGCGCTGCGACGGCTCAAGACGGCTCCAAGACAGCCCCAAGAGGGTGCCAACACGGCCCCTGCTGGGCCCAGGACGGCCCAAGGAGGCGCACAGGAGGGGCCCAAGACGACTCCAAGGCGGCCCCCTCACGGTCCCAGACGGCTCCAAGACAGCCCCACGATAGTGCCAACAAGGACCCCGATGGGCCCAGGACGGCCTACGGACGCGCCCATGAGGGGCCCACGACGAACCAAGACGGCCCCATCACGGCAAACGGCGCCCTCAAGACGGGCCTAGACGGCTCCAAGACGGCCCTTTGAGGGAGCCACCGCGGCCCCACACCCTTCGGGCGAACACTTGGGGTGGCTGGGAGCTTGCGACAAGTCTCCCACATTCATTGTCCTGCCCCATTCTGTTCGCCTGGAGGCCTCCTCCAACCCTGTGGGCGAACAAGAGGAAACCCAGCTGGCCGCCAACCCTGGGGCCCGTGGGCCCCGCGCCGCTTGGGCAGAAGACGAACGCCGGGTCTGACAGGCCAGCTACCGCCCCCCTTTGCCCGATATGCTGTGCCATTCTGTTCCCCCAGGGGCCTTGGCAAACTCTTCGGGCCAAGCAGACCGGACCCCTGGGACAGCAGCCAATTGATATGACCCTGGGACCTCTCCGCTTTCTTCGGACGAGCACCTGGGGGCCCAGGAGATTCGGACAAGTCTTCCCCATTCCTTGCCCTGTCCCGTTCTGTTCGCCCGAAGGCCTCCACAGACCCTCTGGGCGAACAGAATGGGACATGGCGAACAAACCCTCCCGTTGGCGGTGATGCGACTGGATCGCACCATCAAGGCGTGCCCGGAGGTGATGGCCGACCCAACAGCGGTTTCTCTTAAGAGTTCACTGGATTTCAAATTTTCTTGAAGCTCTCTTGGGCCCTCCCTGTAGATCCTTGCGAGCCTCCCCGGCGCTTTCGGTGGCTTTCCCCGATGGCCTCCCGAGCCCTTCCCCGGGCGCTCCTGAGACGCCTCAGATGGGCTTCGACTTCGACGCACATCCCCGAGAGACTTCGAAACTGCCCTCAATAGGAGGGGGGTGAACGAGCAGTGCGCTGGGCCAAGCTGCTGGAGCGCTGCAAGAGCTCGGACACGAAGGCGCGGTCTCGCTGCCGCCGCCCGAGCCGCCGCCGTGTTTGTAGATTTTCGGTACAATCTGCGCCGTTCCTCGGAGAACCATTCCAGAAAGATGTCGTGGACGGAGTCCACGGGTCAGCCCTGGTCTATACTACAATGCAGGGACCCGCGCGTGCGAGAAGGGCGATTCGGACCAAAAAGTGTAGCAGGCCCAAGACACGCCAAGAGGGCCCCAAGAGGCCCCCAAGACGCGCCAAGAGGGCCTCAAGAGGCCCCCAAGACGGCCCCAGAAGGCTCCGGGACGCCCCAAGATGGGCCCAAGACGCCGAAGATTGGGCCAAGACGGCCCCAGAGGCGGCCAAAATGCCCCAAGAGGCCTCCCAAGAGGCTTCCCAGCAGGGCCCCGAGCGGGAGAAATCGTCGACTTCCATTGTGTTTTTCGATGTTTCTCGCATTCTCCCCTTTTCGCCGTCCCTGCGCTCCAAGACGGCCCAAGAGGTCCCCAAGACCGCTCCAAGACCACCGACGAGGCCCGCAAGAGAGCCTCCAGACGGGCCAAGAGGACCCCCAGACGGTCCCAAGACGCCCCAAGACAGCCCAAGACGGCCCCCAAAGACGGCCCCAGAGGGCCCCGGGACGCACGCGCCAAGAGGGCCCCAAGAGGCCTCCAAGACGGCCCCAGAGGGCTCCTGGACGCCCCAAGATGGGCCCAAGACGCCGAAGATTGGGCCAAGACGGCCCCAGAGGCGGCCAAAATGCCCCAAGAGGCCTCCCAAGAGGCTTCCCAGCAGGGCCCCGAGCGGGAGAAATCGTCGACTTCCATTGTGTTTTTCGATGTTTCTCGCATTCTCCCCTTTTCGCCGTCCCTGCGCTCCAAGACGGCCCAAGAGGTCCCCAAGACCGCTCCAAGACCACCGACGAGGCCCGCAAGAGGGCCTCCAGACGGGCCAAGAGGGCCCCCAGACGATCCCAAGACGCCCAAGACAGCCCAAGACGGCCCCAGAGGGCCCCGGGACGCCCCAAGATGGGCCCAAGACGCGCCAAGAGGGCCGCAAGAGGCCCCCCAGACGGCCCCAGAGGGCTCCGGGACGCCCCCCTCGGAGGCCCTCTGAGAGCCATCTTGGACCGTCTTGGCCATTCGTGCCGCTCGGACCCCCGACATCTTGGGCAGCATTCGCCGTTCTCACCGCTCTGAACGCCATCTGAGCCATCTTGGCCATTCGCACCGCTCGGGCGCCCCGACGAATCCACGCTCTCCTCCAGGCATCTTGTCATCACCTCGGAGCCTTCGCCTTCCAGAGCCTCGCGGGCTCAAACGGCCCAGCTGTCAGCCGCGCGTGCAACCCACCGGAGCCGTCACGACACGAAGACGTCACCATGCCATGTCAAGTGGCCCCCAAAGGGGTCTGCAAGCACTTCTTGGACCGTCTTGGCCATTCGCGCCGCTCGGACCCCCGACATCTTGGGCACCATTCGCCGTTCTCACCGCTCTGAACGCCATCTTGAGCCATCTTGGCCATTCGCACCGCTCGGGCGCCCCGTCGAATCCACGCTCTCCTCCAGGCATCTTGCCATCACCTCGGAGCCTTCGCCTTCCAGAGCCTCGCGGACTCAAACGGCTCAGCTGTCATACATGGCCACGTCCGGTGCTCCCCCCCCCAGGAGCCCGTTCCTCCGAGAATCATTCCAGAAAGATTTCGTGGACGGAGTCCACGGGTCAGCCCTAGTCTCTACTACATTGCAGGGCCCAGTGCGTACCAGAAGGGCGCAGGATCAAGTGACTAATAATCGCCCCGGGCTGGCCCCGGGCCGCCCCGGGCCGCCCAGGCAGGCCCCAGGACATGTCGAGAGGGCCCCCAGAAGCCCCCAAGACGGCCCCGGAGAGCCCCGGCACGCTTAAAGATGGGCCCAAGACGCCCGAGATTCGCCCCAGGCGGCCCAAGAGGCGTCCAAGACGCCCGAAGAGGCCTCCCAAGAGGCCTCCCAAGAGGGCCCCGAGCGACAGAAATCGTCGATTTCTAGTGTGTTTTTCTATGTTTTCGGCCTCCTCGCCTCGTCGGCTTCCCGACGCTCCAAGACGGCCCAAGAACCCCCCCCGACCGCTCCAAGACGGCCGAAGAGGACCCAAGAGAGCCCCAAGACGGGCCAGGAGGGCCCCCAGACGGTCCCAAGACGCCCCAGGACGGCCCCAGGACGGCCCAGGAGGCGCCCAAGACGGCCCAAGAGGCACCCAAGACGACCCCGGGAGCGGCCCAAGACGGCCCACGACAGCCCAAGAGGCGCCGAGGCGGGTCTCAGACGGCCCCAAGACGGCCCAAGAGGCACCCAAGACGGCCCGAGAGGGCCCTCAGAGCCCCCCCGGGAGGCCCAAACGAAGGCCGAAGAGGCTCCGAAACGGCCACCACGAAGCCTTCAGTGCCTTCAGAATTCCCTCCAGGAGCGGGGGAGCGGACGAGAGGCGACAGGCATACCGCAGGCAAAAACTCCCCAAGAGATCCCCAAACGGCCCCCACGAAGCCCTAAGTGGCTTCATAATTGCTTCCAGGAGGGGTGGAGCGGACGAGAGGCGACCGGCATATCGAAGGCACAAAAGAACAATGTTGGACGCTCCGAGGGCCTTCGATGTTTCTCCGTTGGGGAGAGTCGTCGTAGGATCGACGATTGCCGACCGAGGGCAGCGAATCCAGTGGAGGCCCAAGAGGCCCCCAGGAGCCCAAAAGAGATCCCCAAGAGGTGCCACGGGGCTGCCACGGGGCTTAAAAACTGCTTCGAAGCGAGGGGGGCGGACGAGGGGACCGCCTCAGGAGGTTTTGGACGGTTTTGGGCC